TAGTATTAAAATATGCACTTATTATGGGACAGGAAGAGTGGACAAAAAGGTTTAGTAAACCTCTAGACTGTCTTCAACGTCAACGTCAACGCTGAGGTTAGAAACAGTTAACGTGAGGTTAAGACCTTAACGTTGGAACCCCTAATTCAAAGAACCACCCGCTCCTCGAACAGACCAATACTTGACTGTCGACAACGGTTTTGGTGAATTACAACAGCGGCCTGCGCTCGCTGGTGGAGCCACGGCGGTTGTTATAGGCGCGGATACCAATGACAGCGGCACCAACCACCACAACAGCCGCAACGACAATGCCCACGATAGACCAGGTCGACAGACCCTCACTACTAGACACTCCGCTAGGGGCACTCACAACTGCAGACTCTGAGGTCGTGGGGATGCACTTCGTCTTGGCCAGCTTGCTGAACCACTTGGCAGCCGGCCGCGGTACGCGCTCCAGCTCCGTGGGCTTCGCCGAGACGTAGTCCTTGGAACCTGTCTGGGATGTAAAGTTGACGTAGTAAAGTCCGAAACGCGGCTCGAAGGAGCCCCACTCGTAGTTGTCCAGGTAGGACCACGCTGTGTAGCCGATGACCTTGATCTTTTCCTCCGTCACAGCCTTGTAAACCTGCTCCATGTAATTCGTGTAATACCACATCTGATCCTCTGCGCCGTCGGCTTCAGCGTTGCCGCACCAACCGTTTTCTGTCAGCAATACATCAGCCGACGGGTCATGGGCGCTCACCCACTTCATCAACGCCAGGTATCCAGGCGGGTATGCCGTGAACCATGCGCAGTTGCGGTTGCCGTGGCGGTCCATGCTGGAAAGACGCGAGCCCTCGGGAGCGCGAGTGTCGTCGACGCCCTTGTCCTTCTCCCAGCCGAGCGTAAGCTGATCACAGCTACGCTTGGACGTCGGCGAGTCGCAGTCCGTCACGGACTTAGACGCGTAGTGGTTGATCATAAACAGATCGTATGATCCCTTGAGAATCTTGGACTCTTGCTCAGTGAAACGAGGCAGACGGTCGCCCACCACCTCGCGCATTACGACCGGATAGTCGCCAGAGATCATGGGCTGCAGGAACCAACCGTAGTCGAACTGCAGCGCACGCTCAGCGGCAGCAACGTCCTTGGGGTTGGACGGGTCCAGCGGGAACATCATGTGCGCCACCAGCACGATACCGATGCGAGCAGTGGGGCGCATAATACCGTTGCTACGGAACTCACGGAATTTCTGCACTGCTAGTGCGTGGGCACGCAACAGGTTGTGGGTCACAATGTATGTGTTGGTCTCGGAGCCGGTGAAGCCGGGGGCGTGCACACCGGTACCGTAGCCCTGCGTTACGAACGAGTACGGCTCGTTGAAAGTCGTCCAGTAGTCGAGTTTCTGGCCGAATTCCTGGAACATGAGTGCAGCGAAGTCCACATAGTGACTGATAATGTCCGAACTGAGCCAGCCCGCGGGGGAGAGTTCCGTCTGCAGCGCCGACGGCAGGTCCCAGTGGTAGATGGTTAGAATCGGCTTGAGGTTGTTCTTGACCATCTCGTCAATGAGGTCGTGGTAGAAGGCGATACCGGTCGGGTTGGGTACCATGCGGCGCTTCGCCGGGTTCCACGTCATGACACGCGACCAGGATATGGAGAAACGGAAGGACTGGAGACCGTCGTCGGCCATCATCTTGAGATCGCTAGGGTAGCGATGGTAAAAGTCGTCGGCCACGTTGGCGCAGGATAGACCGGGCTTCTCACGGCAGAAGTCGTCCCAGATGCTGGGCGTGCGACCGCCCTCCATGTAGGCGCCTTCCACCTGGTACGAGGCAGTGGCCGAGCCGAACATGAAGTCCTTGTCGAAGCAGCGCTCCTCAGCGGCTGCGGGGGCCATCAGGGCGGCGACGGCAGCCACAGCACACGGCAGCAGACGCAGCAAGTTCATAGTGCCCAAGCTCTTCGAAGATCTGTCTGTGCTGGACTCGGAAAGTTGGCGACTGCCGGACGTCGGAACCGTGTGCCAATTCATGCTTCCACTTCAAGTTGCCAGATTACCACAACCGGGTCCTTGAACTAGAATTTTGTATTGCGTTATTTTAATGTGGACCACATCTGCCACGCAACAATGATGTACCTCCATCATCAGGAGTGAGTGAGCAATGCAAAGAGACTCTGATGGAGGCGAGCCTGAAAGAAGACGTCATGCGAATGCAGGCCAGCAATAAGGTTTCATCAATGATCTGCGAGCTTGTCGACGAATTCACGAATCGTGAATCACGATTTCGTCAGCGGACTATCACGTATAGAGATCGGGATTAGATTGCTGGAACGTCACACCGACCAGTCCATACTGCACCAATATTGCAACTTGATCCCGACGTCGCTTTCACGGTACATGTTGCTTCAGGCCTCCTGGCCTCTCTTGGACTAGAAGAGGCTTTGCTAAGCAAACTCTCCAATGATCAACTTCATCATCATAGATCAGTGGTTGCACTAGGGCAAATCGTTTGCAGTGCGCAATTGAATTACACGTATCCACGCATCAAAGTTCGTTTTCACTTTCCATTTCGCTCTGCGATTCGCAGACTGCGAACACCCGAGGCTGAACTGACACCGACAGATAAGTAAAACCATGATTGTCTTGGTGCTACATTGATTTCTACCGCGATGGTGATGGCGAAGCAATGGCATGATATTTTTGTGAGAGTCTCTTGTTGCTGAACGGTAAAACGCCCGTACTGCGGAGACGCGGATTAAGTTGCCGTCACACGCTGCAGCATCACTTGGTGTGTGCGCGGCGACAGCATGTCTTCGGCGTGCATGGAGTAGTTGTTGGGGACCGTGAACTTGCGACGGTCTGGAGTTTGCAGCTCCATGCGATCAAAGCGGAAGGTAGCAGATACTGAGGGCACCAAGGGAAAGCAAAACTGCACCGGAAATCCGTCCGTTAGCGCCTTCATAACATGCATGCCAACATCCGTGCAGACAGGGTCAGCATTAGATTAATCAGTTTGCAAATGTCAGCATCGTACCGCTAAGAAGAACTCCTGCACGCTCTCAAATGCGCTCGTGGTTTTCGAGAGTACCTCGATCACTGGGAGGAACTCCAACACCTTCATCACAGACATCATAACGACAGTATGTCAGCTAAAGCAAGTACTTCGAAGTAGATAATTGTCGAAGAGAAAGCTTACGCTGAGAGGGAATTGGTCGCTCATGTAGACAGTAGCAGGGAACGACTTGGTAATTTTGTGGCATGAAGGCTGAGTATGCACCATTATGCAGCGACGTGGGTGTAGATCATACAACGACGCGGGCAAGCTCTCAATCGACACTCCGAACCAGTCTTCGAATGTCATTTCCTCTTCCTTGACTCTTGTGTGCGATCCCCAGTCGTCATTTCCAGTGGAGTCTCTTTCTCCTACGGGACTGATAGAAAACCTCAGCCTTTTCGGCCTTTATCAAAAATGAATGATTAGAGTCCCCAATACGTGCAGTATCGCGTCATATGAGTAGACAACTTACCGAATTACAGAGTATGAGTTATCCCAAGTGACAACAAGCGTGCCAGTGCTGGTAGCTTTGAATGAACCGGTCTGCTCCTTCAAATGGGCCTGAGTGCGTTGCAGAGGCACGATTTCGTTCCACTCGTCTCCGTTGTTCTCCTTGAGAAAGCGAACTCCGAAGTTGATGTCGCGCTTCTCAGTTGAGAATTTCCACGTCACTTCCTCGTCCTTCGCAAGCTCCAGCGACACAATGTGGTTTGACTTGGGATCGACCAACACCTCTGTATAGTGGTCTGCAATTGCGGTCGCTTCGGTCAGCAACGACACTGCATCAGACGCAGTGGGCTGTGAAATCTCAAAACACAGCGGTCAAACAGAGTATAACACGAATGATATCTCTACCGATTACGTACTTGCTCGTCACTCGACTTGGGAGGCGGGTGCTTTGGGTTGTGTGGCTTACGATAGCGAAGAGAAGCCTCAACACCGATCATGTCAACGACACGCGAGTCTTTCCAGCACCCGATGTCTTGAACCATCGGAGCAGAAGAAAACCAGGCGCATTTCTTCTCGAAAGCAACATTAGATGCGTCGAAATCGGTCGTGACAATTGACGTGGTCATCAAGAAGTGCACCATCAGGTCCAGATCGAGCTCTGACAGCTCCGTGTTAAGCTTCAGCAGGTCGGTACATGTCTCCGCCTCGTTGTCCAGACACAGGAACTTCCCTTCAGAGCCCAGAAGTAGAAACGACAAGTCTCCTCGGTCCCACTTGCCATTCTCAAAACCCACCAAAGTCACATCGAAGCGGATATCTTTGGCAGCTTTCCAGATCCTCACTGTGTCACACGGAAGCCAGCGAGAGACACCAGGAATCCAAGTGGAAACATCGACGTGCATCTCACAGTAAAAGTCTGGGACTTCGGCCAGGCGTGGACAAATGTCGTCGATCTTCTTCTGCAACAGTGCAGGCGCTTGTTCTTTCTCTTCAAATAACGTGTGGTAAGTCTGCAGTATTGTTCGTAAACCTCGAAAAGTATATAAACTCACCTCGGCGAATGAGAAGCCGCATAATCTCTTCGTTTTCCGACACAACGGCGTGGTGAATAGCCTTCCAGCCTTCTGTATCACGGGAGCGAACACGCGCACCAGCGTCCTGCGATGGAATTTGGCCGGTTAGTACTACTATAATGCGATTAATAGAGGATAAGGGGGTGGGTTATACCAGCAAGGACTTGACGATAGCAATGGAGTTTCGATGAGCGAACTTCAACGCCAAATGTAGTGCGCGGTTGCCTCGGACGTCTCGCGTTTCCAGCGCCGTTTGGCCGCCAGTCTGTAGACATTCTCGGATCTGCTGTAAGTTCCCATTCTGTCCGCACCACAAAGAAGGTTATCGCCCATAACAACAGGATAATTGCAGTGCAGCATAGTAGAGACTGACCCAGAGAGCAATCTGGAGCGGGGTGGGAGCTGGGCTGGTCACATGTTGCCCATTGTTGACAGCATCCGAGCTGTTCTTCTTCATCGTAAGATGTTTGCTGGATGCGAAGAAAACTCGATACTGGATGGCTGGAGCTAGACTGGGACGAGCCATCAGCTGTTGACCTTTTTGTTAAGAATTTTGTCTGCCCCCCTTTCATGAAAAATCTTCGCGAAACTTCAAATTCTGCCACTTAAGGTTTCCCATGCTGTGATCGAACCGAAGCTTCCTGTCTGTCGATCTGGTCTATCCTAGACATTGTGGTGGTGGGTGTTGCTGTTGTCAGCGAGTGTTGCGCAGTCGTGGCTCCAGCAGCGAGACAAGACCGCTGCTGTAGAGGTTCCTGGCTAGAGAACGCGAGGTTGCAGGCTTAGGGATTATTGCAAATTGCAAAAGGAGCAAATATAGTGGTTGGTGTTCCATGGTATTTATTTTCGCTCAACCAGTGTGATTACTTGGTGACCAAGGTAACAGGTTGAAGTTGTCAGAATGATGGTCATTCGACAGAGGAAGAACGCCTATTACCCTTACGTTTGCCAGGCATGACCACAAGCCACCTCATGCTTTGCTCTTGGGCGGACGCTTATGTCTATACAGATATTTTTGTCTTCTTGTTTCTTGCTGTTGCTGTCATTGCTCATTTGATTGAGTTCTTTCGAGCGACTCGCTTGCTGCTTTCCCCATATATACGATATCTTGCTGTCGGCATTGCCTTGACCTCGTAAGGGCTCACTCGGCACGGCAAGTCTGATGCATAACTCTCAAAGCTGCGAGATAGTATAGCAGATCCGTTGCGTATTCCCCCCTCTCCCTGTTGACGTTGCTGTCGCAGCAATGACTGCCGACCCTTGCGCATAACGTGAATGACATCGTATACTGAAGATCCGAGCTCTGGACTGTTCAATCCAACTTGCTCAGGTACTGAGTGAAAGTTCACACTCGGCAAGGATATCGATGTTGCCAGTCTCCTGGTGATTCGGCATTCTTCATCTCTTCGTCGTCGAATCAGGATCTGCAGCTTTTGTTGGCTCAATCGCAGAAGCAGCTCGAGATCTTGAGTACGGATATCACTCTGAAGCTGTTGATTTCAGGCATTGAGATCCATCAGGACCGATCAGTAGAAGATATTGCAAACGTACCTCTTCCACATCAAAGAAGCCATGCTGAATGAATGAGTCCTCGACGCCAGGATATACCGCTGTGCAAAAAGTAACAAGTCAACATGCAGTAAGGTGCCGAAGCACGAAGACGTACTCAGTTGAAAAAGTTGCTGGAGCTCTCTAGTAGCACAGTTTTCGGTATCCAGTATGTCTTCGGAAAGATTTACCAAATGCTGTAGCTCGTGGTGAGATTTCTCGAGATCACTTACGGAGGTTATTCCTTTAGCGATCCCAGCTAACAAGTTCTCTCTCAAAACCTCTGCTTGATATGCGTGGTTGGATGCGGCATTAACAACATGCTCGTAAAACGCCGTAATAGAATGCGGCATGTGTCTTGATGATAGTTCCTACGACGACAGTAAGTATGAGTACAAACAGGATAAGCAGTAAAGAAAAAAATCCTTCAAGTAAGGCAACCAGGGTACCTCTAGAAGCGAGCTCGATGTCTGAATGACACGCGTTGCTCTTTCAACAAGCGAGTTGGTTTCCACTTTGAGCATTGCTTCTTTCATGCGACACTCGTTTGGTGTGTACTGCATCGCTTCGTCGACGTTGATAAAGCGCTACCGACAAAAAAAGGTTAGGAAGATCGAACTGAGCAAAATTTGTCATGAGAGTAAACCTGGACAGATGCATGCCACATGCAAAAGTTGGTGTCGTTTTGGGCATCTTGAAACTCTCGTGCAGCGAGGCACGAGCGCCACATGCAGGACGGACCAAGTATCTCAAACATTCCGTGGCTTGAACAGTTTTGCGCTTCTTTGAACTGGCGCGCAGACCCAGGCTTGGTTGAATAATTTGCACACTGTTAATAAAAAAATGAGGATAGAGGTTAGCGAGTGTAAATGGGCTGTTAGCCCTGGACTTGCCTCGACAACAACAAAATCTGCGTCTCTGAAACCCTGGAGTTCGTCTGAATCATCTTGTTCGACGATGCCGTTGCTCTGTTGCCAGACTTTGCACTGTTTCCATAATCCATGGGGATTCTTGATAACACAGAATCGAGCACCAGCTAGCTGGTTCATATTCGTTTGTCGGCTTGGTAGCAACGTATTCACCGCATCCGACAGTGCCAAACTTGATAACGGTTGGTTAGAGTCAAGGCTTGAATCTGTATCGTTTTCTAGTGCATGTCTTCCGCGAGTGACGTAAACCAAAAGGAGTTCGTGAATTGCACGATCGTTCAGTGGGATCATTGAGACCCGCAAAGGAGGCGCTATAACTTGGTCGTGCTGCTCCTCGCTTTCTCCAAGACAAGTGGCCACTGGAACATAAAGTGTTGTAAGGCATCCTCCACCAAAGAGTGAACTCGGATACCTATTGTAAGATACATGCCAACAGATTAGATAGTGAAAGAATTGTGAGAATCATAACGCGACGCAAATTAATATCGTACAGTTTCCTCAGAACGGTGACATCAACCCCCGGAAGCATTGGGAGAAAGCACTTGGAATAGTAAAGTGTCTGCACGAGTTGGAGTACGGATGCACGAGCAAACACACTAGGATCTTGTAGTCCGCTTGAAGTGTCATCACCAGGTCGTATCTTTCGCGTGGTGAAGATTGTATCCGCAGAATAACTCTCCTTTTCAGCACGAGTGCGCTCTAAGATAGCACTTATCTGTCGGAGTGATCGTCGAGCAGATGCCAGCACTACAGGGTCTATATGAAATGTCGTTGATGCGTCAGTCGACACAGCACTAGTGGCATAATTTTGCATGATTGCCGCGAACTTCTGCTCGTACTCAGCAATGTCAAAATAAATATTATAGTCGGCAACGCTGGTGTGTTGTAACGAATCACTTCCGCTAGTAACACAGTTAGGAACTGGTCCTCGTAAAAAATTCTGAGTTGGCAGCATCCATTGAATGTAAACGGAGCTTAGCGCAGCATCACATGCTGTACCGGGAAACTGCGGCGTAGCTCCGGAAGTCAATTGACGAAATACCGAGCAGATTCCATCACAAGTAGAAAATTTTGGGTCCAATTGATGAGCTGTAGCATCTCTAGACGACGGGAGCCGACGTATTCGACGGGTAGAAGATGAAGATATTACTCGGCGCGGTTTTCTGGGAGTCGCCTGGCTCATCATAGTTTCTAGTACTTTTGTCCATATCTCACCCGCAGAAACGCCGAAATGTAGGGAAAGCGCTAATTTGCTGCTCTTTTTGGGAGCTCGTTGAGGCGGTGTTACTCTGCGCAGTGATATGACGGATCGCACTGTCAGCTCTTCTCCATTTTCTGTTGCTGGACCGTGATTTTGAAGTACCCTTTGCAGAATAGCATTTATGGACGCCTTGCTGTTCATTGTCTGCTTTGACGACTGGAAACAATTTTTACTCCTGTCTTGTGAAAGTCCCGGGACTAGCAGTGAAACATCGAGGTCTCCAGCGCAATCCTGCTGCAACCGAGCTAGAAACAATTGCCATTCGAAGCGACGAGCCAAATCTTCCACCTAGAGTCGAGGGCACAAGCAGCAAAACAACCGGTGCGTTAGATTACAATGACATAGCATCGTAAACCTTAAGCACAAAAAACTACAGGATTGACAATTTACCATACTTTCAGACTCCTCCGTGGTGTCCGCGGCTACACCTTCCATGCGAACCAGCGCCTTCTTCATCTCTGCAATGCACTCATAGAACAATGTCTAGCCACAATCCGTCGTTAGACATCCGCGTGAAGAAGCAACAACTCTAGACAGCATCCAACCTGTAGTCTGGCCGCCGCCCTGGTGTGGGTGTCCGTCACGAACAAGTGGAAGTTGTGGTCATGCTTCGAGACGTCTAGCAGCACCGCATCACATTCAGCCTCTGCTACAGTAATCAACCGCTGTTTTTGTCTCTGTTTGGCCTCTCGCGTCCTGCTCACGTCAAGTCGCTTACGCCTCAGCATTTGTAGCCTGTTAGCGCTTGCATCATGTCGAATTTCCTCTACCATGCAGCGGTGGACCCTTTGGTCGAAAGTCGACAGCGACGTCTTCAGCGTATCTGATGCGGCTTGTGATGAAGCACTCCGGCAAGTTGGCGGGTTATCACCGGGTGTGACGCTGTCGATCACGGACACGTGAACAGCAAGGCGATCGCGCAGGGCATCGAAGAGCGTCGGGAAAACATCGCCCGGCGGTGGCATCGGACCGGATCTTGCTTGAACAGTCGTACACCGACCGACTGTACGGAAGTGCAGCATAGCTGACCAAGAATGTAGGCAGCGTTGGCGATGCCATCGCCATTGTGTCGAACAACTAGCTACAATAGTGACATTCAGAGTATACCATCGCTTGACTAGGGAAAATGAAATTTCCACTAGACTCGGTGCATCGCCATTCTAGCCACCCCTTTTTTCACTGTAGTCCGAGTCATCAGCAGGACTGAACCAAGGAATACGGTGGCTCACGCAGCGAGAGTCCATACGTTACGGGCCACAACTGCACATCACTTACTAAGAGCAAAAAAAAAAATCGTCTGTTCATTTTTGCGGCACTGGCAATCCAAGTCATCGGTTTGATGGCGCTTAAAGCACCGTCGGTGGTAGCGTCTAGCACTCAACGAAGTTCATGGCGATGCCGTGGAATTATGGAACAGTGGGCGATGGTGTCAACCAGAACTTGTCCTCGATACTCTCGGTGAAGTGTGACGAGGTTGAAAATTAGATCAAGGAATCGCACGTAACATTTCCTTATTTCAATAATCTGAAAGTACCCATAGTGTTCGTACTCACAAGCCTAGGTAGTCTATCGCGCAACGCAAGAGAACTAACACGCTGCGGCTCCGAGTACAGACAGCCGGGACACCTGACAAGTCGGCCTTCTTGACAAATATGGCCCACCAAGCGAGCTTATCCCGTAACTGTGCAAGCATCGTAACAATAAAATAAATATATATACATGCTGCTTCTAATGTATATATACATGCTGTATATATACATGCTGCTTCTAATGTATATATACATGCTGCTTCTAATGCAGTTGGAAACCCCCGACTCGGGTGGAGGACTAAGTTGAAGTGAGTGAATTTACGCTGCTGCCACATTCACTACACAGACGAAGCATCTATTGGCACCGAGCTTTACAATCGTCACATTTGGTCTCACAAAAAGTACAAACTTTAACACATCACAGCAGACGCGCGCAATTCTTTCCATATTTTGCTGCTGGAAGCTTGTCATGGTCGTCTGCTCCGCTCGCGATCTTTTGTTTGACTTGCTTTTTGTGTGGACGAAGCCCCCACTCACCAGTGGCCTTTCATTCTTCGTTTGAGCGGCGAGAGCGCAAACAACGGGGAAGACAGCGACCGAAGCGACCAGCAGCGGCAAGCCATCAACTGATAGCGAACTACAGGACAGAAACAGACACAGAGAGCGAGCACCGAGCGACGACAGAGACACCGAACACTCGACTAACGCCTATCTCGTGTCCAGAAGGGCCTCCTCTGTGAGTGGAGAGCTCTTCTCGGGCAACTTACCGCCTCTTCCCCTCCTAGGGTTGAGCGCCTTGTGCATTGATTGTGTCTGTGTTCCCAAGAGGTGGATCGATCTGTCCTTCGGCTTCCTTGTGTAGCGGGGGGTCTGCATCGGTTCGACTTCGTTGCATTTCATTCATTTTCCTAAGTAAAACAAACAAAAAACTAAAACAAACTAAACCCCAGAAAAACAGAAAGAAAAACAGTAAAACAAACAGAAAAAAGTAGTGCATTTAGTCTAGTTCAAGCAAGTAAGGATGACGAGAAACGAGAAAAACAAGAGAGAGAAGACAGGAAGCAACTGGAGTGGCATGACGCACGCCAGGCTCGTCGCTACGAGTCTATTCGGCATCTGGAATTTCTGGATGCTACAGGTCTCGTCGGCGCCCACGACGGTCAAGTCCTGGACACGCGACGACGCGGACTTGACGACGGTCAACTGCTCGGCATTGTCGCCACCCCCGGACACTCCGTTCTGGGAGGCGATGGACCGCTGTTACGATTGCGCCACAGAGCCGTCGTGCGGCTTTTGCCGATCCACGCTGACATGCGTGCCGGGCAACCTCCACGGACCATTTGCTCGGTACCAGATCTGGTGCAGCGACTGGATCCCGGAGGCGGAGGCCTGCCCCGTGAACCCGCAATGCGAAACCATCACCGACTGCGGCAACTGTGCCGCGTCGAGTGAATGTGTTTGGTGTGCTTCCGATGCATCGTGCATGGCGGTGGAAGAGGGCATTGGCTCTGGATGCAAGGCACTCGTCAGCGACGCGCCATGTCCCGAGGTGATTGTTCCAGGTATGTGCATGAGTGGGTTTTGTGTTGCATTGGTGGCTGTGTGTCTAATGTATTACTTCGTTGACAATGATGAGCAGAGACGATCATTGTCGGCGATGTCATCATCCACCAGGAGCCGCCGAACGTACGCAGGGGGGTCGTTGTCACAGGTGTTACGAAACACTCGATAAACTATTCCCTTGTCGTGAACCAATCCACCGTATCTGTACAGTCAGGCGGCAGCATCACGCTGCGTGGCGGCGACGACAATAGGTTCAACACTGCCGGTAGTGACGTCACGATTGCTGCTGGCGATGGAGTGCATCAGAACCGTGGGCGTGGCGGCACTGTCGCGATCTCCGGCGGTGACGGGCTCGGTATCCAGAACTTTGATAAATCGGTCACAGGCGGTGCTGTGAAGCTAACAGGTGGAATGTCGAAGGTCGGGACCGGAGGTAACATCGATGTGGCAGGTGGTGTAGGCGCAACCACTGGTGGATCAATCAATCTTGCTTCCGGCACGAGTTCTGCTTCGACTAGTGGCAGTGTTACGATCAAGACTGCCGGCGTCATCACCAAGGGCGATTCCGGGAGAGTCGCTGTAGAGACTGGAAGCGCGATAAATGGGGCGTCAGGCTCGATGGAGTTCCGCACTGGTACTTCATCGTCGGGCGAGGCAGGGTCGATTGTACTGTCCAGTGGATCCTCTGACGCCGGCAAAGGTGGCAACGTTGTCGTTCGCGGGGGATCGTCTGGCGGGGATGAAGTCGGTGGGTCTGTGCGCATGGAGACTGGTGCATCTGCGACCAAAGCTTCTGGCGGAGTGGTCATCGTAACTGGCAACTCTGGAGTGAATGGTTCCAGCGGTGCCGTTGTGATTGGAACGGGTAACTCGACATCTCGATCGACTGGCCCGTTATACCTGTTCACTGGAAATGCAAATGACTCAAGCACCGGTTCAATTTCTCTTTCGGTTGGCACCGGTAAAACTGATAGGGGTGGAGAGATCCTTGCTACAGCAGGCTCTACAACCAAATTAGGAGGCACCGGAGGCGCGGTCAAAATCATAGGAGGAGATGGAGCTAACACCGATGAGTCCGCTGGAGGTACAACTACTATCAGCGGTGGCGCTTCGATGGGAACGTTAAACACATCCGTCGGTGGTCACGTGATTGTGGTAGGCGGAAATGCAACTGGTGGAGCTGGTGGGTCGATTACGATTCTTAGTGGGCTTAGTCTGAATGACTCGAGCGGAGCTGTTGTCATTCAAACGGCGGTCAGCTCTCAAGGGGGGAGTGGCAGTGTTCGTCTCTCAACAGGAGATTCCGCACCAGACTCGGGGCGGGTTGAAATATCTACAGGTAGTTCGACCGATGGCAACAGCGGTCCTATCCAGCTAAGTGGAGGCAAGGCAGCCGGTGGAAATGGTGGTGGAATTACTCTCACAGGTGGGCCAACTGAAAGTGGTATTGGTGGGGCAATCCACCTTTCATCCGGAGTGAGCACGTCAGGAATTAGCGGAAGTGTCGAAGTGACTACGGCAGCTAGTACTCATGGAAAAGGCACAGGGTCCCTGAGTCTTACGAGTGGTCCCGCTAGTCGTGGTGTATCTGGAAGTGTTACCGTTGGAACAGGGTATACTGTCCGTAGCCCTGCGGGAAATCTACAACTTCAAGCGGGGTCTTCATCGGAAAGCACACCCGGGAGCGTTAACATTGCTAGTGGTAGCACAGCATCTGATTCCGGTGTTGGCGGTGCTATTACGCTTAGTGGGGGGTATGGTTTGTCTTCAAATGGTGGCGTCGGCGGCGAGGTTATTATAGCTGGAGGCGGCGGACATGGCCTTCATTCCCAAGCTGAAGGAGATGGAGGTCGGGTGAAGCTTGCTGGAGGACAATCGATTGACGGGAGCGGTGGAGAGCTTCTGTTTCAAGGTGGGAGTAGTACCTCTTCCGTTGGTGGAGCTGTTAACCTTGTGAGCGGCGCATCAAGCCTCAGTTCGTCTGGTACAGTTCACGTGGCGTCGGCGAATGCAGCTGCTTTTGGCAACTCTGGAAACTTAGTCATGAACACTGGCAACACCCTGCTAGGAAGAGCTGGTTCAATCAACCTCGAAACTGGAACCTCTGAAGGCCAAGCTGGAAGTGTTTCAGTTTTGGTCGGTTCTAATGGAATTGGTGACGGCGGTGACATATCTGTCGAGTCTGGTTCCTCGAACCATGCTGCTACCACAGGTGGAGCTCTGCTCTTAAGAGGAGGCTCAGGCAAGAGTGACAATTCTGGTGACGGAGGTGATGGCGGCCGGGTTGTGTTAGCTGGTGGTTCGTCGCTCGGATCTTCGGCTCAAGACTCTGGTGGCGCAGTCTTTATTCAGGGCGGTGAAGCTCAAAGTGGTGTCGGTGGTAACGTCAAGATGATTTCGGGAATAAGCGCTTACTCCTGGAGTGGTGCTGTTGAAATTGCATCAGCCCAGGCTGCGAGTGGAGGCATGAGTGGCACGTTGTCACTTGCCACTGGAAACAGCCCTGACGGCACCGCTGGATCTGTAAAGGTGTCTACGGGTAGAGCATCGAGAGGCAATAGTGGGACGATCGAAGTTGCTGTTGGAGCTGGTGACGCGACTGATGGCGGAGACGTTCAAGTTAGTGCAGGAGAGTCATCAGGGATGGGCCACACTGGAGGTAAAGTTACGCTAACTGGTGGCACTGGCTCAAGCACAAATGCCGTAGACGGTGGAGACGGTGGTGACGTTGACATTATCGGCGGTGAAGCACGTGGTTCAAACTCCCTTGATAACGGTGGCAGCATTAATGTAGCTGGCGGTCGAGGGTCGTTTGGATATGGAGGTGATTTGTCCATGCAGTCTGGATCCGGTGTTGCCAGTTCTAGTGGGTCTGTGTACATAAGTACATCAGACGCAGGCTCGCGCGGTGTAAGTGGTATGGTCACTCTCGCCACTGGAACATCTTCGTATGGAAACTCGGGTCCAATGAGCCTAAGTACCGGCACGGCCAAAGGCGGCAAAGGAGGCCAGTTTCAGGTCCTTGTTGGTAACGGTGACTTCGGCGAAGGAGGCTTGATCTCCATGGAAGCAGGTAGTACGACTGATACTCGGACGGGAGGATTTATATCACTTCTCTCTGGCGCAAGCCAGGCAACCTCGAGCGGTGATATAACGGTGAATACTGCTAATGCCGGTGGTTCTGGAGGAAGCGGAGGCGTTAAGGTCCAAACCGGAACTGCTACTGCCACAGATTCTGGTGCACTCGTGTTGTCGACTGGTTCTGCGACGCTTGGACATGGTGGCGACGTTATTGCTACTGTTGGTACTGGAACGAAAACAGATGGCGGTCAAGTTCAGTTGACTGCTGGAGCGACAACTGATAATGGTAAAACAGGAGGAACTGTCGCCATCCAAGCCGGCGAGGGAACCAGCACTGCTTTCCATAACGGAGGTAATGGAGGTGTTGTGAAAGTGACTGGTGGAGCTTCTCAAGGCGGAAGTACTGCAATCAACACTGGTGGAGGTATCTTTCTGGAGGGTGGTTATGCAAACAAAGGTCGTGGTGGGAGTATCCGCCTCGATACTGGCTTTAGTGCGGCCACATCCAGCGGCGCAGTGTCTATTGCGACTGCTGCTTCGGGTAGGAAGGGCACTAGTGGCTCTGCAATTATCAGTACTGGCGATAGTACTGCCGGTGATAGCGGTGAGATCAGTGTGTACAGCGGCCAAGCTCTCAAGGGCAAAGGTGGATACATTTCGCTTTCGGTTGGAAACAACACCGAGAACGCGGGAGGAGATGTGACTGTTAGTGCTGGACTTGCTCTACAGAAATACACTGGAGGTTCGATCACCCTTACTACGGGTGCTTCTGTACGAACTACTTCGGGTGATTTTCTTGTCCAGACGCCAAATGGTGGCCCAGAAGGTGGATCGGGATCACTGACATTCACTACCGGTAAAAGCCAAACTACAGACAGCGGTGCGATGACATTTGTCACGGGTCTTGCAAACAAAGGCCACGGCGGAAATGTGATTGTGTCTGTTGGCGTAGGAGATACGAACAACGGTGGGGATGTGAATATCACTGCCGGGGATACTTCCGGTAAGTTTTTCATTGTTTCTAACGTTGCTTTTACAGTGTTGTAAATCATAATGTATGTTTCTTGTTGTAGCGGCTGCTAAAGTGGGAGGAGGAATCTCGCTCCAAGCAGGATCTGGTACAAATACTCATGGAAGCAATGGCGGCGATGGGGGTGCTGTTCAAATTCGCGGAGGCCAAGGAATGGGTGGAAAAAAAGATTTTGACATCGGTGGAATGGTTCATCTTGAAGGAGGAGCAAGTAGAGCCTCAACAGGGGGCAAGATTGAGCTTTTTTCTGGCACTGGAATGAGTTCTAGCAGCGGAGATATAGCGCTCATGACTGTCGACTCTGCAAAAAAAGGAGTGTCAGGAACGCTTCAGCTTGAAACCGGAAATTCCACCTCAGGCCCGAGTGGATCGGTTCTTATAGTGACTGGGAACTCTTTGCCTGGACCGGCCGGTGACATCATTATCTCTGTTGGAACAGGTAGAACAGGTAGTGGTGGGCGTGCTGCAATTAGTGGGGGTGATATGAGCGATATGAGATCAACTGGTGGTGCAGTTGATATCACGGGCGGTCGTGGAACTAGCCGCAATGCTCAATGGGGTGGAAAGGGCGGCCCTGTCAACGTTGTTGGCGGATATGCTGGCGGCCAAAGTGGCAGTGATATCGGTAAGGCTTCGGGCTACAATTTAAAAAAAAAATATTGTTTTTACTAACGCAATTTGTTTTTCATGCATAGCTGGAGCTGTGACCATTCAAGGCGGTCAAGCCCACAAAGGGAGTGGCGGTGCTGTTAACATTGTCTCTGGCGTCCCAGAATTTTTCTCGAGTGGAAATATTGAAATTCGTACGTCAGATTCAGGATTCTACGGCGTTAGTGGATCGATGATTACTCGCACGGGTAAATCACAAGCTGGTGACTCGGGCAGCTACACTCTTCGAACTGGTGATTCTGATAAGGGTAGCAGCGGTAGTATCGACATCGCTATTGGTAACAGTCTTGCTAAGGCTGGTGGCGACTTTAAGCTGAAAGGTGGATCAACGTCTGCGGAGGGACAACCTGGTGGAAATATAGTTGTTTCATCTGGTTCCAGCACGAAGGGTGATAGCGGTAGCGTTACCGTGAGCACCAACAACTCCGGGACAGCTGGAGTCAGCGGATCTATTGCTGTTTCATCTGGCACTGCTGCAAAAGGGGACTCGGGTATGATCTCGCTAACAACGGGTAGCTCAATGGGAGGTCATGGCGGCAATGTTGAGGTCTTGGTTGGTATTGGTAGTACTGGAAACGGAGGAGACATAACTGCGCGAGCTGGTGATACCACGGCCACAGCCTCGGTTGGTGGAAAGATTTCGCTGACTGCAGGTAGTGGTTTGAGCACTGATCTGAAGAACGGCGGTGATGGAGGTGATGTCGTCGTGTCAGGTGGTGACGCTAGTGGTAAAAACTCCGCGACAGACGTCGGTGGATCTATTCACCTGTTCAGTGGCAAAGGAAACGCTGCAACAGGTGGATCCGTGACTATCGTAACCGGGAATGCAACCTCCTCTTCAAGTGGTGATGTGAGAATCTCCACGGGTGACTCCATTGAGAGAACCACTCAGTCATCGGGAAGCATCAGCTTCACTACTGGTGCTACTGCTAATGAGGCTAGTGGAGCTATTTCGTTGCGGTCTGGCTCAGCGACGAAAGGAACGAGTGGAGACATTACTGTGCAAGGTGGGAGTAGCCTTCAAGGAGCATCAAACGTGGTCGTCCAGGCAGGAAGTACTTCTGCTACAAAGGGCGGGTCCGTAGTCATTGTTACAGGAGTCTCTTTTCCTGGCTCCAGTGGCGACATCAACATCAGCTCTGAACGGAGCGGCACTAGCGGTAGCAGTGGCGCCGTGAACGTGTACTCGGGATATTCTCGAGGCGGGTCTTCCGGCGCCGTCACACTAAGTTCTGGTGCGTCGGAACGCGGATCTGGTGGAGACATCCAGCTTTCCGTGGGATCAGGCGTCGGTCACCAGGGGGGCAATGTTGGCGTCACTGCTGGAGCGACTACTCATGCTGATGGCGGCGGCAGTGTTGCTATTCAGTCCGGACAGAGTACTACATCGTCCAGCGGAAGCGTAATGTTGTCAACAGCTGATGCCGGAAAGGAAGGATACTCAGGATCCGTTGTGATCCAAACGGGAACTTCCACTGATATGCCTGGCTCCGGAAATGTTGCACTCCTTACTGGTGATGCCCTCAACGGTGGAGGTGGTAACATCACAGTTGCAGTCGGCATTGCCTCTGTTGGTGATGGTGGGTCGATTCAGCTAGTAGGAGGAGACTCCACGGCTGCTCGTGCTCAAGGAGGCAGTGTCCGACTTACTGGTGGTAATGGACGCTCGAGTGATGATAAGGATGGAGGCAACGGTGGTGATGTGGAGATCGTGGCCGGGTCGTCTGATGGCATGAATAAAGCAGATGATCAAGGAGGAGCTGTTGCGATCTCTGGTGGGGACGCCGCGGAGTCTTCTGGCGGCGCAGTCTCGATCACTTCTGGTTCCTCGTTGGGTGCATCAAGCGGTGACGTCTCAATCGATACGGCTGATGCGTCTAGTTTGACTGGCGCAATTGAGCTCCACACTGGCATATCCAGTCTTGGTGGATCTGGAAGCGTTGACGTACGGACGGGTGATGCCAACAGTGGGAGAGCAGGCTCGATTAACATCGTGGTCGGTACGGGGTCAAACGCAGCTGGTGGAGATGTCTCTGTTTCTGCCGGTTCGACAACTTCTTCGAAAACCAGAGGTGGTAAGGTTGCTATCGTGACTGGATACAACTCGGCGACTTCTAGTGGCCATCTGTCCTTGGAAACTCCAGATTCTGCAAAAGACGACGGGTCGTCTGGCCACATTTCTTTGAAAACTGGTGATTCGGCAGCCAAGTCTGTTGGATCCATTGTTCTTAGCACTGGTTTAGGTGCAGTCTCGGATGGTGCCGGTATTCAAGTCGCTGCCGGGAAGGCAAGCGCTGGAAATGGTCAATCGGTTAACATTACTGGTGGAGATGCACTACAGGCTGAAGATGCTGTCGCTGGCAGTGTCACTGTTGTTGGCGGTGTCGGGCTTGGAGACGATGAAGCTGGTGGTGGTCGTGGCGGTTCCGTGAAATTGGTGGGTGGTAAAAGTTATGGAGGTTCTCTAACCACTGACGTTGGCGGATCGATTGCTCTTCAAGGTGGTGAAGCTATTGCTGCGTCTGGTGGCTCTGTCAGCATTATCAGTGGTTCGAATACAATCTCATCTAGCGGAGATGTTTCATTGCAGACCCACGATGCCTCTATTGATGGGAGCAGTGGACTTGTCAATATCATTACTGGTCAAGGTGCGGTGAGGTCAGGATCCGTTTCGATATCTTCGGGTGTGTCATCTGTTGGCACAACTGGAAACGTGACTCTTGGCTCCGGTGGCGCTAGTGCTGGGATATCTGGATCGGTTGCCGTGTCTACAGGTAATACCGGTACTGGTGCTCCAGGCTCAATTGCACTGAGCACCGGAAGTAGCAGTTCTGGCGTTGGGGGTAACTTCATAGTTCGCCTCGGATTGAACAACGGAAATATCTCATTGGGTGCTGGAGAATCTGCTTTGGGGACTGGAGGCTCGATCCGCCTTGGTACTGGAGCCGGCCTGGTGTCATCAGGGTCTGTCTCTGTTTCAACTGCTGATTCTGGTGCCGCAACTACAGCTTCTACTGGTGCCATTGAAATTGCTACCGGAAACTCACCACAAGGTGCTTCTGGGCCCGTAAAGATTAAGACAGGAGATTCAGGGGTTGACGGAGGTAGTATCGCAGTTGCTGCTGGGTCATCCTCTGAAACTAAAGGATCCCTGCTAACTTTATTTGCGGGAAGCACTACAGGTGCTCTTGGAGATGGTGGCAATATAGCACTCGGTGGAGGTGGATCAGAAACCGCCACTGGGGGTCATACAGCTATTGTTGCTGGTGGTGGCAAAACTGGTGGCGAGCTATCTCTTCGCTCTGGAGCTGGAACGACCCTTGATGGAGGGAAAGTCTCGCTCATCTCAGGAGCAAGTGAAAACGCCGACAGCGGTGAAGTACTAATTCAATCTGCGGCAGGTGCCGTCAATAGCGGACTTGTTAAGGTTGGATCAGGCTCTGCCCAAACTTCGTCTAGCCCTGTCCGCCTTTTTACTGGATCTGCATCAACGGGAAAGGCAGGTTCTATTGACATTCGGGGAGGTAGCGGCACAGTAGACGATGGAGGCGCAGTTTATCTTACTGGCGGTGGCAACCCCTCTGCACTTGGTGGCTCTGTCATTGTGTCTTCAGGCTCCGGAAAAGTAAGTGGTGACGTCACCGTGCAATCTGGGGAAGCTGAAGCTGGTGGCGACAGCGGTGTGTTGCGTCTTAGAACTTCGGAAAATACCGACTCGTCTGGCAGTGTGAAGATTTCGTCTGGCGACTCCACGAATAAGCAGAGCGGCAGCGTGGAGCTAAGCGCTGGTACGGGCTCCACTGCTGGGGGTATCGTTTCCATAACTGGGTCTTCTAGTGCTCAGGTTACAGGTGGTGATGTCGCGATCAAGAGCGGTTCGTCTACTGCAAATCTGAGTAACGGTGGTTCCATTCAAATTACCACTGGCTCGGGTGCTACTAGCGGTACCTTGACTGCGGTAACTGCCAGCTCCTCTTGGAGTGGCGGGGCGATTATTGGCAGTGGGGACGCAACGACTGGTGTGAGTGGAGATGTCACTCTTCAAACTGGCTCCAGCATTATCGGTTCAACCGGATCATTTCGAATGACTGTTGGCACGAGCGCATCTTCGAGCGGAGGCGACATTATTCTTGCATCCGGCAAAGGATCTACCCAGGGTGGGAACATTGAAATCGCTAGTGGTACAGCTTCCGCGGCAGCTGGAACTGGTGGACACCTGGCGCTAAAGTCTGGAGGTGGTGATGTGGTTGTATCTGGGATGAACGTAACAGCTTCCCACATGAGTGTGTCAGGTGATGGATCTATTAGGGTGAAGGCGGCCACTACCTCAACCATGGAGATTCGCGGGGGTAACAACATGAATATCAGTGTTGATACTGGGGAACTTACGGTATCTCACGGAGAAACCACGGTACCTGGAGGAGTAATCTGGCGCTTGCAGCCGAATAAGATGATTAGTCATGTTCCAGCGCAAATTACGGAAGTCACATACCCGTCAGATCGTCGCATCAAGACTGATATCCAAGATATTGATGAGGACGATATCCTACAGCGAATTCAGACTCTCGAAGTAAAAAAGTATCGGTACTCGAAGATGTGGCGAGAGATACGCGGAATTCCCGACGTAACCGTTCGCGGTGTGATTGCTCAGCAAGTGGAGGAAACCTTTCCGGAATACGTGACTATATCAACGCTATCGCTTCCAGAGAAAAACTTTAGCTTGGAACAATTTCACGAAGTTAACAAACAGCAGATCACGATGGATTTGATCGCTGCTATTCACGCCCAACACAAGCGGTTTAAGGTTGGGCCCAATAGCGAAACTCAAAGTGGGCGGATTGATATTGCTACGGCTGATGGGGGATCTTACGCAAACGCTTCCCCAACCGGCAGTAGCGGCGATATCAGCATCGAATCAGGATCGTCCAGTTTTAGTAAAAGCGGAGATGTGAATATTGCGAGTGGAGGAGCCCAAGCCAATTCAGGTGCAATCAGCATTCGAGCCGGAGACAGTATGACTGGAGACGGTGGATCTTTAGTACTTGAAGCAGGATCGTCTCAAGGGAGCGGAACAGCTGCTGGGAGTGTCGTGATCGCTAGTGGTGGGAATTATGAGAATCCTGGAAATGTCAATTTGCAGACCCCAGATTCTCGTGGAAGTCGCAACAGCGGAAGTATCTCCGTGACCACGGGTTGGTCTGCATTTGGAGAGAGCGGATCAATAGCCATCAGCACAGGCGACTCGTTTGTGGGTGCTAAAGGTGTTGTCGATGTTACATCAACATCTACTCGGGTTTTTGGTGCCTTTTCGGTTAATGCAGAATCAGGCCAAAAATCTGGTGTTGCTGCTGACGTTCAACTGCATACCGCTAGTAGCGATGCCCGCTCCGGTGATATTAAACTTTCCACGACCTCGGTTCAGAGCGTCCGTAAAGCTGGCTCCCTGACTTTTGAAAGTGGTACAGGTCTTGACAAGAGTGGAGACATCGAGCTTCTGTCCGGGCGTACTTTCAATGGAGATCCTAGCGTTTCTACGACTCCCCCTGTGCCAGGAAACGTGATTGTACAAGCTGGAGATTCTGCCGGTCTCGGCGGCAACGTGACTCTCACTTCAGGAAGCGGCCACATCGAATCGGGCACTATATCTTTATTGTCCCCTAGCTCTTCACAAGGAACCGGCGGATCGATTGCAATTCGATCACAACAGTCAGAAACAAGTGCTACAGGTGCAGTTGTCATCGAATCTGGGAAAACTGTCTCCGAGTCATCCGGATCCATTCAACTTCAATCTGGGTCTACCTCGTCCTCGAATGCAGGTGCTGTAGCAATAATGGCAGGACAGTCAGATACTGGACAAGCCGGTAACGTGAACATGGGCGGCGGTTCTTCGTCTTCGAGCGGGTCTGGCGGAGCTGTTCGTGTGTCTGGCGGCTCGTCATCGAGCGGCATTGGCGGTGATGTGACTGTGTCG